CTTCTCCATCCGTTCGTAACGCCGCGGCGATGTTCGGATGGTGCAGAGCAGGGGAGATTAGCTTAATAGGGAGAGCGGATATCTTACACGTATTTGGAGGTTGTTCGAATCAACCATTTCCTAGCGGGGAAGTATGCTAACAGGTATAGCGATCTAATTGTAAATTAGATGACAGGAGTCAATATAGGTTCGAGTCCTATACTTCTCAGCAGGGGTCTCGCCGAGGCGGAAGGCGTCAGGACGGGGGGGTGAGGATAATAGCTTAATAGGCAAAGCGTACCGCTCATAACGGTAAAGATATTGGTTCGATTCCAGTTTATCCTAGGAAGAATAGCCTAAAGGTAAGGCAGAAGCTTGCTAAGCTTTGGAAGAAAATCCTTAAAGGTTCGAATCCTTTTTCTTCTAGACAAAAAATTCGATAAATTAAAAAAAGGGGGCCTCTCAACGGTTATCCATAACGATCGTTAAATATCTAAGCACACCCAAGGGTAAGAGAAGGACAAATTTAGGAAGAATAGCCAAAGTTAAGATAAAGGATTAAAAACTAAGGGGATATAGAGAAGAACCAGAAGGAGCCGAGGGGGGAACCCAATGATAGAGGAAGCAACCCTTTGAACAGAAACATCTAAAGTAAAAGGAGGAAAAGAAATCAACCGAGATAACCTAAGTAGTGGTGAGCGAAAGGGAAACATCCAAGATAACCGGAAGAACACAGAGGGTGACAGACCCGTATTCAGGTAGACAAAACAAGTAGAATGAGAGAGAACTTATTTGAAGGAAGGGGAACCATCCTCTAAAGGTAAATATGTGACTTTGAGCGATAGAGAAGAGTACCGTGAGGGAATGAAAATTAATATTAAAACGATGGAAGGGAAAAACATTCTTTCTCTACCAACAGGAGTGACAGTGCCAGCTTTAAAACAATATTCTAATTTATCAGATGTTGCCAATGTAATAAATTTATTAAGAAAAGAATTAAAAGATAGACCCTTGCCCCTTCGGGGTTTAATTTATTGTATCCACCGAGATGGGACTATAGATTTGTATGTAGGGTCTACAATAGAACCAGAAGTAAGATTTTATAATCATTTAATAAGTGGGAAAGATTCAAATAAATCTTCAAAGTAGCTTTAATGAACACGGCAAAAATAATTTTACTTTATATATTTTAGCTTTAGTGGAATTATCTCCAGCTAAAACAAATGAGGCCAACAACAAGAAGAAATAATGATTTCTTACGAACAATGAGGCCATATATAGATTTGTTAAGACCCTTGCCCCTTCGGGGTTTATAATTTTAACCAATTAGCGGGGATAAACAGATTAGGGACTAAACATTCAGAAGCAAGTAAAGAACTAATGAGTGAAAAAATGAAAGGAAAAAATATAGGGAAACCCCCTATAAATAAAGGGATAAAATTAAAGGATGAAGAAAAACAACAATTAGTTTTAAGGTCTAAACATAGAAAAAATCCCGTCTATTTTTATGATGATGATAATAATTTAGTAACTGTCTATGATAGCTTAAATCACTTGTAGAGGTGAAAATTGTAATAGAACCTTCCCTCCGGGGAAATTTGTTAAAGTGTATAAAAACAGGAAAATTGTTTAGAGGCTGGTTAGTATGTTATAACCCTATAAGGTAGGGGGGTGTGCCCTTACCCTTTAATAAAACAACGCTCCCGTAATTAGGCAACTAATAACTAAGACTAAGCTATATGCTGGGACACCCAAGGGGTTGATCAGCCGGGAAGAGCCTCAGAGACTAGAAGCTAGACTCCCATAAGGGGAATAAGATATAGTACATTGTATTAAAAATATGATGCACCGCGTTGAAAAGGCAGTAGTTAACTAGTGAAAGAGAGCCGGAATAAGTGAGTCTATAAGGGGTTGGAAGTAAGACTGACAATTTACCTTTGGCATAATGGGTCAGCAAGTTGATAGGTGAAGCAAGCCCGCTCAGCGGAGAGATAAAAATCAAAAAAGTTTCAGTTATCAGACCCGAAACCAAGTGATCTTATCATGAACAAGTCAAAAGGACTGAACGGTAGTATGTAGCAATATGCACCGAAGATTTGTGATAGGGAGTGAAAAGCTAATCTCACTTGTACTCCAGGTGATCTAATTCGAATAGAATAGATAAAATTGGGTAAATGCTAAGATGCCAAATTGGCTAATCAGCCGGTAAGAAACCTCAATGACTACAACTCAAAAACTTAAGTTAAGATATAGTCTAAAACAAAATCCATTAACGTGGCGGATGGTAGAGTTATATCCCTCCCTGTTTAACAGGTGGGAAGAAACGACGAAGAAATTACTCGGTGCTGTGTACCAGCACCGAGGCGGATATAAAGTAAAAATATAATTAAATTAATGAGAAAAGATATAAAAAAGAGGTGTCTTTCAACTGTAAACCCTTCACCTGTGCATCCTGATTATATTAGTGGGTTAATACAGAGACGGGTCTTTCTATATATCCCTGAAGAAGACAGTAAGCACGAAAAAGTTGCCTCCCATATGCAAGGCCGCATTTACTTTGACTCAAGATTTAGATTCCATTGGGGTTTTAGAATTGATACAAACAAAATTAGCTTGTGGGCACATATACCGGAATGTAAATAAATTCAGCAGAATTTGTAGTGTCTACAATATCTGAATTACAAAGTGTAATAATACCTCATTTTAAAACTTACCCTTTACACGGGGAGAAACAAAATGCTTTTAATATATTAGTGATAATTGTAGAGCGTTTAGCTAAGGGGGAACAATTTAA